CTGTTGATCTTCTACGTTTTCTAGATGGTAATTTACATGTTAGTTCTCCAATACTCTCAAATACTGCTGTTTTTACTATTACATTACCTCGTGGTGTTATTTTATCCTCTTTTACCTATTTGAAAAAAAGGCATCGATGTTTACAGTCGGGCAAAACTGATTGTAATAATTCTGGTAAAATAAAACCGCAAACACGGCCCTTCCAGTTTATTTTTGTTGGCATATATAGTATTTAAATCTATAAAGCCACAACCAAGCTGTGTTCCTAAGTACACCACCCATATATAATGAACATATGTTCACGCTGCCCAACTGCAGTTGCAACTCATTAGTCGATTTTGTCAATTATAATTGACATATCATATTAAACACACGTAGTGTAACGCGGATGTTGCGGCTGAAGTTTTCGACCTTGTCCCAGACAGTCGGTTATCACATCACATCAACCACTTAACGGTTCTTTTTAAGTCCGTTAAGCTTTCTTAACTACGAAGACTGACTGGTCTAAAGACGGTCGTTTTATAGTTTTGAAATCTGATAAGTTATCTATTGGTTAACCTCAAAAGGATTAAGTTGACACTTGGTCTTTTCATGCTCAACAAATCTTCCACCAAAAACAGCCACTTCAGTACAATCGTCTACTGATAAATCACAATGTCCTTCCGCCTCTAGATTGTGGGCTAATGGTGGTTCATTGAGAGATACTGAACAGTCGGATCCAATATACCCAGTGTTACAGATACACTTCCCTGTAGTAGATAATATTGAATTTTTAGTTTAGTTTACAATCTTTCCAGTGGTTCCCCCAATGGAGTATCAACTCAAGACTACAGGTCCGACATAACATGGCTTCAAGATGATCATAGGCAAATTAAAAAAAACCGTTCAACTAATAGAAACTGAGCACAGTATTTTTTTCTCCTCGAAATATTTCACGTTTATATGTAAATCCATTAGTCCTACCTTTTGCACATCGTCCTTGATCTGAACACTCTCCAGGGCAAGAAACTTCTTTAACTAACTCCAGAAGAGATTTACTATCTTCCACTTTTTCTTCTCTTAGAGTTCGATTCATTCTGGCTTCATATAGACATTGTGAACTAACAGTGGATATGGAAGACAATGCAAAAGCTTCAGTTCCACTTAACTGAAAGCAAAATGTATTTTGAATGGTCTGCACGAAATTGGTTGATGTGCAAGCGAAATTCTGTATCTCATAAACCTGTTATGACCAAATCTTGAGATAGGTTTTAGCTAAATGAGATATATGCAGATTGATATTGCGAGCAAAGTACAGATAGTACTACTAATTATTAGTTATATTCCATAATATTGGACCAATACACTGGAGATTTTGACTTTGAATAAGCAACTAAGTTGATGAAACTAGAAATGTGAAAGAAAATGCTATTATGGAAAAATTGGGAAACTGTACCTGTATATCTCGAAGACAAGTTTTGATTGCAATGTTAATATCTAAGCTTGTCAATCCTTTACAGCGATCAATAGCTTTAGAATTATTAAATAAATCAGTACAGTATTCATCTGCTCGTTTTATTGTCCATCCAT